GGCCCGGGGGTCACCCCAATACAACAAAAACTTCACCAGTTTGTTTAGTGGGGGCCTGGTCACACTGTCCATCCCCCCCCGCAGCGGTTACATGCTCCCCCCCCCCCCCCCCCCCCCCCCCCCTCAAACAGCGGCCAAGCAAGCCTTGGCATGTTGACTCGGGGCTTATTCAAAAAGGACAAAGGCATGCGCAGCCCGGCACAGGCAATCTTCCTCCTCCCTCACTTCTTTCCCACAACACCGCTCCCAGCACGTTCGAGAGCTGGGCCTCCGCGTCCGCCGTCGCCGCCATGAACCGCCTCTTCCGCGGCCGCCCAGCGGGCCAAGATGCACAGGCCAATGCTTCGGACAATAAACGTGCTGGCCCTTCGAAATGGAGCATGGGCGTCCTCAACGACCCTACCACCATTGAAGTCCCTGGTCAGTTCATTCGGCTAATTTTTCTTTCTTTTTTCAGCATCGGTACATTTTGGCTGACACGCGTGTGATTCTTCAGGGTCGGTGCTGCTCCTCGCGGCCCATGTCAACCAGCCGCTCGGTCTCCGCAACGTCCACGCGAGGAACTCCCACTCTTCCATCCCGACCGGTTTCGCCGTCGACCCTACGCCCTCCCCTGGGGGCACGCTCCACCCACGTCCTGCTCCTGAACCAACTGTGGAAGAGCAGGAGGAGGAGGATGACGGCGGAAAGAAGAAGACCGACGATGGCACCATCATCCTGGAACCCCAGCCTGATGAGTCTGCCAACGATCCACTCAACTGGCCGAGTTGGCGGCGTGACGTGGCTTTGCTGTCGCTCGGCATGTACTGCATGATCGGCGGCGGTATCACGCCCCTGATCGCCGCGGGCTTCACGGATGTGGGAGACGAGTTTGGCATCCACACGGAGAGGGTGGCCTTGACCACGGGCCTGTTCATGATGGGCCTGGGGGTCGGCTCTGTTGTCATGTCCCCCACGGCCATCTTGTACGGCAAGCGTCCCGTCTATCTAGGTAGCTCCATCCTCTTCATCGGCACGTCGTTGTGGGCTGCCGGGTCCCCCAGCTTCGCGTCACTGCTTGCGGCACGCGTCTTTCAGGGTATCGCCGTGAGCCCTGTGGAGTGTCTGCCGTCGGCGACGATTGCAGAAATCTTCTTCCTCCACGAGCGAGCTTTCCGTATCGGCATCTATACTCTCCTTTTGCTTGGTGGCAAGAATCTCGTGCCCCTCGTGAGCGCCGCCATCATCGGGCGTTGGGGGTGGCGATGGACCTTTTGGTACGTATCAATCCCCACGGATACACGATATCAACTTGCTGACTGTCTGTGGCTAGGATAACGGCCATGGTCGTGGCCGTCAGCGCCGTTTCTCTCTTCTTCTTCGTGCCCGAGACCTTTTGGGACAGAACGCCGACGCGCAAGCCAAACAAACGGCCCAGCTTTATGCGTCGTCTGTCGTCTCGTCACGACAGACACACGCATCCTCACACACCACGGACGCCCGTGCCCCCCCCACCAGCTGCTGTTCTTCCTGCTCATGACGAGGACCCAACGATTGCTGCAGGCCACCCGCACAGTCGCCACAGGGGCCTGCACGTCGGATTCGCATCTGATACAGATACCCGGAACGAGAAGACCGAGACAGAACCAGAGTCTGGACCCAGTGGACAGCCACCACCCGAAGCTGCGGGAGCTCTCAACGACCCTGCGCCCAACCCAACCACAAGCACCCCGAACGACGATGGCAATGTGAGGCGGGATGCTGGCCCCGGGACATCCGCAGGCTATTTTCCACCCGCGGCCGACGGAAGCAGCGTTGCCAACGTGGACATCCGCACGCAAGACCCGGGCTTGGACGTGGAGAAGATCGCAGCCTCCCGACTGCGCGGGCCGCCCAAGGTGCAGGCGTATACACACAACCTGCGTCAGCAACCGCCCCGGTCGTTTGTGCAGCAGCTCAAGCCCTACCACGGCCGTCTTAATGGCGACAGCTGGTTCAAGGTCATGCTGCGGCCCTTTGTCCTGTTCGCGTATCCGGCTGTCTTGTGGTCTGCCGTCGTCTACGCGTGCTCCGTCGGCTGGCTGATTGTCATCTCGGAAACCATGGCCATCATCTACCGCGACCCGACGCTGTACAACTTTAGCGCCCTGCAGACCGGTCTCGTGTACATTTCCCCGTTTGTGGGCGGCATCCTCGGCACGGCCGTGGCGGGCAAGATCAGCGACGTTATCGTCAAGGCCATGGCCGCCCGGAACGGTGGCCTCTACGAGCCCGAGTTCCGCCTTGTCATGGGCATCCCCATCCTGATCACGACGTGCATCGGCCTCATGGGCTTTGGGTGGTCGGCGCAGGAGGGCAACCATTGGATTGTGCCGACCGTGTTCTTTGGCGTCATGTCATTTGGCTGCTCCCTGGGGTCCACGACGTCCATCACCTTTTGCGTGGACAGCTACCGGCAGTATGCTGGCGAGGCGCTGGTAACGCTGAACTTTGCCAAGAACATTCTGCACGGCCTCGTGTTCAGCCTGTTTGTCACGCACTGGCTGGCGGACGATGGTGCCAAGGCGGTGTTTATCTGGATCGGAGTGATCCAGCTCATCCTCATGCTGTTCACGATTCCCATGTTTATCTACGGAAAGCGCGCGCGCATGTGGACGACGAGGATGAACCTGATGGAGCGATTTTGATTAGGTCCTTGCATTTCGTTAGACGCATTGTAGCATGTTGATGGAGTTGTTTATGTTGGGTTGCATATGTGTATCTAGTACATCTACAGACACCATGCGGAACGCACTCTAGGATTTTTTTTTTTCCGCATTAGTTATTTCGATCAGAATGCACAGCGATCTTCAATCCCTGACCCAGCACATGAATGCCGTGATGTGCAGAGCTCATATTAGTGGCCGGCAGTTTTCCATGTGACAGATCTGGCCTGCCTCTTCCGGATGAAGCTCGAGATCTCCGTCCCAGTGCAGCGCGCGTGTGCAGCCGGCTAAAAACTGGGGCCACGGAGGGAGAGTCTGGGCTCTGGGGGTCCAGACTCAGGGAGTGGAATCGCCAGTCTTGAGTTTGCAAGCAGCTCGACGTCTCCGGTATCAATTGACTTGACACGGGTCCAGAGGATGGGTATCAGTATTATGGAGAAGAAATCTCAGATTGCTGAGTTCCAGTGTTTGAAGTACGTACTTTTTGCCCTCCCATCCTGGCGAGATCAAGATGACGCGATCCTTCCCCAATGGGAGGCACAGTCAGCCAGAACGCGCCTGCCGCAAGCTCACGGAGGATGCTCACCGAAGAGACTGCGGGCGACATGCAACATGCAATGCTACGACGACTGCGACGATAGGAGACCACTTGTTCATAGATAGCAATTCATTCGTAGTGCCTCGTGGGCTGTCTCGGCTCTATTTGTAGACGCCTTGGATTGAGAATAATATTGGCGAGGCCGGCGGGGACTGACTGTGGCCTGCTTGGGGCTGATAGTGCCCAACGCCAAATCACACACGTCCACTAACAGCCGCTGCGACACCGGCGCAAGAGTCAGATGCGGGCGGGGTGGTCTGTGCGCCGAGCGAGAACGGCGACCGACACCCAATTCTTCTGGATCCATCCCCCACAAACGTGTACCTACATAGCCGGACGGACACGACTTTCCTGCGTGCCGTGCAGTTCTCGATCCATCCTGAGCAAAGCAAGAGCCAGAGAAGAGCAAAACGCCTCCCTGAATTGCTTCTCCCCTCCCCTCCTCCTCTCCCATCTTCGCCTCGCTCACTTGATTGCTGCATCCACGAGGCACCTCCCATCATCTACGAAAAGGGCCTCCGGCCGTCCTGTTCCTCCTCTCTCGACAGAAGCACACCGCCACCATGCTCCGAAGTCGCCCGGCCTCGAAAGCCCTGAGGGCTCTGCAGTCGAGGCAGTTCACCACCAAGACCACGGCCGCTGCGGCCATTCAGCCCACCAAGACGACGCCCGCGTCGACGAGGCAACAGACCACGACAGCCGCTCCGTATGTGTCACCCTCGCGCAAGTCTTTTCTTTCCGTCCTCGGCTAACAAAGTCATGCAGCCAGGTCCGCGACATCCCCTCGTCGGGGTTCAACACGGCCGACAAGGACCGCAGCCATGTCCAGCCTCTCGTCAACCCTCGCCGGCCGGAGATGGACGAGTCGTTCATCGGCAAGACGGGCGGTGAGATCTTCCACGAGATGATGATGCGGCACAATGTTCGCCACATCTTTGGCTACCCCGGCGGCGCCATCCTCCCCGTCTTCGACGCCATCTACAACTCGAAACACTTTGACTTTATCCTGCCCCGTCACGAGCAGGGTGCCGGCCACATGGCCGAGGGCTACGCGCGTGCTTCTGGCAAGCCCGGCGTCGTCCTGGTCACCTCGGGCCCCGGCGCCACCAACGTCGTGACGGCCATGCAGGACGCCTACTCGGACGGCACCCCCATGGTCGTCTTCACCGGCCAGGTTGTCACCACCGCCATTGGCAGCGACGCCTTCCAGGAGGCCGACGTTGTCGGCATCTCGCGCGCCTGCACCAAGTGGAACGTCATGTGCAAGTCGGTGGCGGAGATGCCCCGTCGCATCAACGAGGCCTTTGAGATTGCCACCTCTGGCCGACCCGGCCCCGTCCTCGTCGACCTGCCCAAGGACGTCACCGCCGGTGTCCTGCGTCGTGCCATCCCGACCGAGACGTCGCTGCCCAACCTCCCCAGCGCGGCGGCCCGCGCGGCGGCCGAGGTGCGCCGACAGGAGATGCGCAACTCGCTGAAGCGCGTGGCCAAGCTGCTCAAGGTCGCTAAGCAGCCCGTCATCTACGCCGGCCAGGGCATCATCCTCTCCGAGGGCGGACCCGAGGCCCTCCGGGAGTTGGCCGAGACGGCCTCCATCCCCGTGACCACCACCCTGCAGGGTCTGGGCGCCTTTGACGAGCTGAACGAAAAGTCCCTGCACATGCTGGGCATGCACGGCTCGGCGTACGCCAACATGGCCATGCAGCAGGCCGACCTGATCATCGCCCTCGGCGCCCGCTTCGACGACCGCGTGACGCTCAACGTGGCCAAGTTCGCCCCCGGCGCCAAGGCGGCCGCGGCCGAGGGCCGTGGTGGCATTGTGCACTTTGAGATCATGCCCAAGAACATCAACAAGGTGGTGCAGGCCACCGAGGCCGTTGAGGGCGACGTCGCAAGCAACGTGCGCGACCTGCTGCCCTTGGTAGAGCCCCGCTCGATGGAGAGCCGCAAGGAGTGGTTCGGCAAGATCAACGAGTGGAAGGCCAAGTGGCCGCTGTCGCACTATGAGCGCGCCGAGCGCGGCGAGCTCATCAAGCCGCAGACCCTCATTGAGGAGCTCAGCAACCTCACCGCGGACCGCAAGGACACGACGTACATCACCACGGGCGTCGGCCAGCACCAGATGTGGACGGCGCAGCACTTTCGCTGGCGCCATCCCCGCACCATGATCACCTCGGGCGGCCTGGGCACCATGGGCTTCGGCCTGCCGGCCGCCATTGGCGCCAAGGTGGCCCAGCCCGACGCGCTGGTGGTCGACATTGACGGCGACGCGTCGTTCGGCATGACCCTGACGGAGCTCTCGACGGCGGCCCAGTTCAACATTGGCGTCAAGGTCATTGTGCTGAACAATGAGGAGCAGGGCATGGTGACGCAGTGGCAGAACCTCTTCTACGAGGACCGCTACGCGCACACGCACCAGGCCAACCCCAACTTTGTCAAGCTCGCCGAGGCCATGCACGTGCAGGCCCGCCAGGTGTCCAAGCCCGAGGACGTCAAGGAGGCCCTGACCTGGCTCATCAACACGGACGGCCCGGCCCTGCTCGAGGTCGTGACGGACAAGAAGGTGCCCGTCCTGCCCATGGTGCCGACGGGCGCTGGTCTGCACGAGTTCCTGGTCTGGGATGGCGAGAAGGACAAGAAACGCCGAGCGCTCATGAGGCAAAGAACGAATAATCTGCACGGTTAAGGAGAGCGAAAAGGGGGATGTTTCTTGTGATATACCATTTTTTGTTTTTGTGATTGTTTGTACGTCGTGTGGCGTGTTTTGAAGCGCGAAAAGTCATCTAGGCGTTTTAAGAGATTCATGGGCTCAGTTCTGGTTGAATTGGTGTCCAAGTGTTGAGTTCATCTTGCAAAGTGACATGAGAGAGAGGGATAGATTTCCAGTTTATTAGATCAGTCGCCCTGTGCACATTCTGCTGTTGCTCCGTAGAGTGGTGAGCTGGTCAATCCGGCGTCCAAATATGAGCCTGGCAGCCAAGATGGCCTTGATCTGGACCTGAACGCATCTACCCGCTTCACCAGCATGAAAAGGCTAGAAAACAGGCCCCGAAACCGCCAAGCGTGGACAATTAATGACATGCAGCGGGTGCCACTTCGTATCCGGCGATGCAATGCGATGCGCTGCGCTGCGCTGGGAGAAAAGCGTTGCGTTGCGCGTCATGCCGAACAAATGCTGGTGGCTGGGACGATGCGATGCGGCCCCAACCACGCGAATAATTGTCCTAATTACTGCCCCGCGTATCCTCGCAAACTCAAACCAGACGCTCTTTTCACATTCCAGTTCTTTTACCATCTAATAGACATAATTTTTTGTTCCAGACTTCAATCAAGATGGACCGCACCCGCGCGGCCCGAGCCTCTGGCAGCAGCCGCAACAGCCACCCCAGCCCGGAGCGCTACACGCTCGAGGACGGCGAGGACCCGACCTACATCTCGCCCGACTCGGACTTGGACGACGACGACAGCGTGCCCCCCACCAAATCCGCCATTCAGCAGCAGCAGCAGCAGCACCTACAGCGGGAGGCTCTGCCTGCGGTGCCCGACAGTCCGTCGCGACGAAGCCCACCGCGCGCCAGCAAGCAGCAGCAAATGATGAACGGCGGCGGAGGCGCGAGCAGCAGCAATAGGGACTCGTGGGGGGCTCCGCGGCCGGGGAGCTATGCCGAGCGCACACATGGCGCTCGTTATCGACGGGATCCCGCCTCGTCGACATCGTCGCATGCGCGCTCTGGTTCTGCCACTACGGCATCGCACCAGCAGCCTCCGCCCTCGAGCGCGTGGCCCGCCAAGCCAGCTGTGACGACGAGGCCGCAGCAGGCGGGTGCGTCGTCGTCGTCATCAGCGAACCGTCGCGCGCATGGCGAGCCAGCAGCAGCAGCAGCGCCGCGCCACAAGGCCGCCTCACCGACAAAGGAGCACCCCATCAACCGCCTCGAGTCGCCATCCATTGCGAAATCCGTCCTGCAGCCGCTGGAGCTCAAGATGAACGAGTACCAGCGCATCATGAACGACATGCAGGGCCAGGTCGCGCAGCTGGACGAGGAGATTCGCCAGCTGCAGGAGAAGCGACGGCAGACGGCGGAGCGCTTCGAGGACGCCAAGGACAAGCACGACGACTATGAGCGTCAGCACATGGACGTGGAGAGGGCGTTGCGCGGGGAGACTCCCTCGTTGCAGCACGCGTCGTCCTCCCAGCAGCAGCAGCAGCAGCAGCAGCAGCAGCCTATGCTACCGGCGTATATGCCCGTGCACGCGCCGGCGAATAGCTCCCATCATGTACCGATGCACAGGCCCGGCACGACGGAGAGCGAGTACCAGGACGAGGGGAGGAGGCCGACGAGTGTGCCTGTGGGGGCGGGTGCCCACAACAGTCCTCGGTCGAGGAAGATGGGGACGAGGGATCGGATCAAGATGAGCTTGTTTGGGAGTGGGTAGGGGATGGCTGGACGTGGGATTCTGGGTAATGATTTATGACTTGGCGAGTTGGGAAGTGCTTTGTTTAGTTTTGATGTATTGGGTATGTGACACAGGATGTGACTGCACTGTTTGGTTGGTTCCCTGCGGTTGTCGACATGGCATCGCGCTATACGTATCCGTGCACTCCCGCATTCCACGCTGAAGAGTATATGAATGCAAACTGGGTTCTGTCTCGAGAACCGCTCTACGTACCAAGAACTTTGCACCCTTGCCTCTTGTCATTTTGGACACCCTGACTCGGGGCGTTGCGTTCCAAGAGGCTGGCGGCTGTCGGCTGTGGTGGTGCTCTAAGCCTCCAACGCCCAACAGCATCCTCATTTTGGCAGCCCCTTGTCCATGATTCTGCTTAACAAAATAAGAATGACCGGAAATCCAGAAGCCAGAGATGAATTCTTGGTACCAAACTATGTCGTTTTCCATGGGAGTGACTCATAGTCAGCCGCATGAGTAAGCAGCTCCAGGCAGCCAGCCAGGCAGACACGCTGGCTGCCTGGTGTGCGACCACTAACTATAAAGAGGAAGCAGCCCGCCCCCCAAGGATGTTGGCCCAAACCAACCCATCCTCACAGAACACAGAACACAGTGCGGAGTACCCAGCCTGAGTCTAGCAATTGACAAGCCTTGCCCTCGTCCCCTGCTCCTTCTCAACCAGCCCATTCTGCGTGTTGTGCATCTTGTGATTCGTGTCGCTTCCCGCAGGTGACCCTCATTGCACGTAATACCTGAACGCACTGTCCACACGGGGGGGGGGGGGGGGGGGGGGGGGGGGGGGGGGGGGGGGGGGGGGGGGGGGGGGGGGGGGGGGGGGGGGGGGG